TACCAGCAAGTTCTCGGGCAGTGCTGATGCTGATGTTTTGGGGAGCGCATGTTCAGAACCAATCGACTACAGGCAGCGGAGACTCCGAGAAAGGGGAGACAGTTGAGGGGATGAGAGAGCTGAGGGAGAGCTCAGAGCTAACAACACCAGGGGCTGATGGTGGGCATGGAGGGCTGGGCGGATTCAGGTGTGTGGTGGGGGCTGGGAAGGGGTGCAGATGGGAGGAAACAGGGGCGAGACTCAGCCAGCTTAGGCGAGTCATCAGGAGAGGGACAAGTGGGCAGTGACTGGCCGTCAGCTACCCTGCCTTCCTTTGGTGTCTTTGCAGGGGTGAAGGCGGGGAGGATAGGGACCCCCAGACATGCACAGCCCCGAGCACAGGGTTGGGACGGCCCTGGCCCATCACCGGGATTTGCCTGTGTTAACATGCAGTCGGCCTTCCCTTCCAGCCTTTCTCCTCCTGAGTCCGTGCATCTTACACCACGGGGCCCACTCTGCATGACCCAGCGGCGCATAACAAGTCACTTCCCTCAGAAACATTTTGAATTACTTATATTGAGTAATGCTTATAATTGACCAGATGTTCTTAAAATAGTTGGCTCATATGACTTGACCTTTCCATTAGGAAAACAAAGACTGTTTTTTCTAGTATTGTGCATTGTGATTTTCTTAGCAAATTCCCATTTCAAGTTTGCAGCTGTTCAATGTTGGTAAAATCGTATTCAGCCCATCCTGTGTGCAGGGGAGGCCCATGGCGGGCTTAAACACTGTCGTTTGGTTTTTTTTTTTTTTTGAAAATAAGTCCTGTTGTTGTCTACATTTAAATCCTGATTTGGGGCAGCTCGGAGTATCTAATCTTGAGGGGAAAGAATACTGATGTGGTGCCAGGAAGTCGGAATTGGACCTGCTTCGAGAGTAGTTCACGGAGAGGGAAGTGAGGGGCCACGGCTGACATGTGCCCAGGGTAGCGGGCAGCCACACTGTTTCGAGGTCAAATGGAAATCATGGTCCAGGAAGAAAGGAAGCAGGAGGTCAAGCCTGCAGTTTGTGTGAAGGGTCACGTCTTCAGAGACGCTGTAAACAGGAAACAGAGCCAAACCCAGAGGCTGGGAAGAGTGAGGAGAGTCTGGGAGAGGACAAGTCCAGCGGGGAGGCAGAAGCGGTTTCTGGGGCGGGCAAGCGCTCACGTGATGCACGGTCTGCCCAGGATGTGCAGTTGGGGCTGCGAGGACTGTTGAAGGGTTCGTCCCTAGATGTCTGCCGTTCTGCCACGCATTCTGGGGTGCTGTCCAATCTTGGACCGCACTGATGGTGGACAATAAAACAGGAGGCTTCGGAGGCACGTGGGGGGCTCAGTTCGTTAGGCAACTGACTCTTAGTTTCGGCTCAGGTCCTGATCTCAGAGTTGTGAGACCGAGCCCCATGTCGGGCTCCATGCTGAGCATGCAGTCTGCTTGATATCTTCTCTCCTTGTCCCTCTGCCCCTCATGCGTGTGCTTTCTCTCTCTCTCTCTCTCTAAAACAAGTCTTGGGGCGCCTGGGTGGCTCAGTCGTTAAGCGTCTGCCTTCGGCTCAGGTCATGATCCCAGGCTCCTGGGATCAAGCCCCGCATCGGGCTCCCTGCTCAGCTGGAAGCCTGCTTCTCCCTCTCCCACTTCTCCTGCTTGTGTTCTCTTTCTCTGTCAAATAAATAAAATCTTTAAAAATAAATAAATAAATAAAACAAATAAGTCTTTAAGAAAAAAAAAAGCAGGAGGCTTTGGTTTTGGTTTCCTTCTTCCAGAGATTACTGCCATCATGGGGGACTTCCTGAAAGACTGAGTTTATCCTCTAGTTTCTCTGCTCAGCAGCTTGTCTCTCCCGTTAGACCATATGGGTTCATGTCCAGGGTCTTGAACCTGACATAAAATAGTGACTTCCAGCTACCAGGCAGGTTAAAAGTCCCAGGAATCTTAAATATATTTATCCTCACTCTTCACAAGTGTTTGTGGGAGGTTATGGTGTTTAATTTTAAGAAGTAAAAACACTGAAGTTCGTAGAGGTTATGTAGTTTCTCCAAAGTCAAGGACCAAGTGGCAGAACAAGGGTTCAAACAAGGTGCCCTCCAGGATCCGAACCTGGGCCACAACTCACAGCCACCTACCCCCACTCTCTGGGAGGGACACACCAGTCAGCAGCCTCTGCCCTGGGCCTGCCATGCTTCTCGTACAGGTTTTGATCCCTTTTAGGGCTAGCTAGCATTCATAGTCAAAACCTAATCGTCACTCTGGACAGTGAGCTTTAAGCAGTGTTACTTGAAAAAAAAAATCATTAGGGAGTCAAACAAAAAAAGATGTAGGGGAATATAAAGGAAGACAAAACAAAACAAAACGAACACCCTGACTCAGGAGCCCAGGATCTAGAAAATGTTTGTGGACATCTAAAATAATAATACTAATAAATAATAAAAATAATATGTTTAGATTCAAAGTGTGGAGGAATGTTCCAAATGAAAATGAACTCAGGGGAGTGCACATCTTGACTCTGGTTCCCTCTGCACCCCCAAATAGCTGAGTGACCCCAGATCATCCGACTGTTGGCCCCATTGGTGGCGGGTCAAATTATGAAGCTTGTTTAAATTATTTGGAAGGTGCCAACCAATCCAACAGTTATTTGAATTTGTGTCAAAGAGTTCTTTTCTAACAACAGAAAGTACCCTTTGTTTAGACTAAGGTGTTCCTGGTTATTAGCTGTCCTGGGAGGAGTCCTGGGTCATCCTGAGCACCGTCCCTTTCCTGCCCTGAATGCTGATCTCCGTTCTTGCTCCCGGCATGGATTCCAGCCGGCCTTCAGTAGCTGCCCTCATTTGCTGGGGCTCTTCAAGGTCAGGCTCTCCCCTGCTTATGTTAGTTCACACCACTGACGTTCCTTTGTTTTTTTTCACTGTGTCTTATCTCCTCGGACTGTGTTCAAGATGGTGCAGTAGCTTTTCCCCCACCCTGGACGCCCAGCATAGAGTCCACAGAGCTGAGTCCTACCTGAACACTGGCTTAGTGATACCCAGTGAGCCACGACTGACAAAACCTGAGAAAGGGATAGAAATACATCTTCAGAAATTCTCACGACAGCTCCTTGTCCCTAGAGGTAACTTGTACAGATGATGGAAATGTGTGACACCTCAGAGTCTTTCTCGCAGATCCATAAAAGGATGGCTGAATGAAACCTTGCAGGGGAGGGGGTTGGGGGGTCTTTCCTGAGCATTTCCTGTATGTGCCGGGTCCTCACGGCAACGCTGGGGGACGGGGTTACCAGCCCCATCGCATGCACGAGCACACCAAGGCCGGTGGTGGGCATGAAGCTGCTGTGTCCTGGTTCTGGGCGTCCTGTTGGTCTCAGAGCAGAGTCCCTTTTGCTTCTCTGTCTGGTGAGAGATGTTAGCATATCTTCTCTCCTGTTTTGATAGCCACTCTCTTTTACCCGCGTGAAATGTCACCTCCCTTCCACACTCAAGCTTCGTCTTCCTCATGAAGCTCTTCTATTTTGAAGATTCTACCCAGATTTACTCTCATCTTTACCACGTACCTGGAGCACTGATTTTTCACATAAACCGTATCCTGCCTTATATTATCAGTTAGTTTTTTATTTGGCGAAGAGTGTTCCTGAATTGAATCTGAAGACCCGACGGCGGGGAATTGTGTCTCCTCTGAATCTGTCCAAGATGCTAGAATCATTTTGTGTGCCTTCCGCTCGTTGGTTGGTGTTCTGATTTGTTTTTCCTTCATGTGTTATATCTTCGTCGTAACGTGTACATGCCTTTGCTGTAAGTATGAGCTGGACGAGACAAACCCTGCTGCCATGGCCTCTCCAGCTAGCAGGGAATGCAGGGGTCTCTTGCTATCCACAGCATTTGTCCCTCACTTCGAAGGTGGGGTCGGACAGAGAAGGACCCCAGGTTGTCTAAATCTGTTTGGATCCTGAGAGCCGGATAGCAGGAGCTCCCTCTCAGCATTCAGATGGCCAGGGACTGGCTCTGAAATTTTAGCAGAATCTGACTCAGTTCTGAGTTTGGGGAGCAAGGGGCATGCTTACCGATTGCAGGTGCACAATAACTCTCACGGGCTTTAGTCGGGTACCAGGAGTTCAGGGTGAGAATGCATATCCAGAGGCAAGGATTTGTTCATTCACTCGACAGGTGCTGAGCTACGAACCAGAGGCGTGCACCTGCCCTGCCTTCCCCAAGCAGCAAGCAGTGGAAATCAGCATGATAAATACAAAGAGAAAAATCTGAGCTATCAGGAAGCAGGCTGTGGGCAGTTTAGGGAGTGTTTCAGGAGGATGAGGAAGTGAAAGTGGCTTTTATTTGTGTGTGTGGAGTGTCTGGTGGACTCCAGGCACTGTTAGATGAACGTGGCCCACGTATGTGAACAAGTCTGCCCTCAGGCCCTTGCCCCCCTAAAGCTTACGTGTTAGGAAATCTGCCGGTGCGTAAGGAGGCAGTGGTGTTGGGCTGATTCTGGAGGGTGAGGTAACACCTGAGCGGTGTGGCTAGAAGCCAGTGAGGACAGGTGCCTTCCATTCGGAGGGCACTGAGGATGAGGAGGGGGGCTTCACCCACTGCTTCCCCTGGGATGTTCCTGCCACAGAAACCGGAGAACCGTTTCATCTATTCAGACTGTTTTAACAAAAACTTCTTTTTCATGCTTGCTAAGGTTTGCCCTCCTAGTCTAGGTGCTTGGTTGGTGGGAGGGGTCTTACTCAATGCCCAGAGGAAGGATGGAGGGATGGGACGGGTCGTTTGTCATTTTGAGGGTAGACACGATCATGACCACCAGCATGGGAAAGGGGTCACCCACAGACCCAAGTCAGGAACCCCTGGTTACAACTCAGAGGACCCAAATGCGTTGTCTAGAACCGTGGGCCCCCTCCCAGGGCCCCCCGCTGCAGCCGGAAGTGATCCCCGCTTGGGTTCTCCCGGTGGGTTTGCATGGGGGGTCTGATGGCCTGCACTTCTCTCGTTTCAGACTGTTCTGCCATGACCACAGCGCGGTGCCGGCCCACGTGGGACCTGGCCCTCGATCCGCTGGTGTCGTGCAAGCTCTGTCTCGGGGAGTACCCAGTGGAGCAGATGACGACCATCGCCCAGTGCCAGTGCATCTTCTGTACTCTGGTTGGTCTCTTGGGAGAAAACAACTGTTAAAAGCAGTTTCAGGGGGAGGCTCTTGCATTCGTTTTTAGTGGCCTTGGATCCCACTTTTGCCAGGGACAGAGTCTCTCATGCGGTTACTGACAGAATCCGCCTTGAAGTCAGTCAGGCACCCAAGCAGGTTTCCATCACAGGTGCTCGTGATGCAAAGGTCAGCGGTTAAACAGAATTTTAGAAGCTAGTGATGCAGTTGAGAAAACCTGATCATGACCTGTGCTTTCCTTTCCAGAAAGAAAAAGCTTCACCCTACCTCCTTTTAAGTTTAACAATTACATGCTTGCGATTATAACAGAGTGCTAACCTAATGAGTGTGCAGTGAGAATATTTGGCTGTTCATGTCAACTTGCACCCATGTCATGCTAAAGAGGATGTTGAAATCACGTTTAAACTTCTGTAAGAGGTAGCCAGTATTATTTGGGGCCAGATGATCTGCTCTTAGCGATTATAGGGACTTCTCTTTCCATCAGGCCTAACTCAGACCCAGCATTTCACCCGTCAGAAAGAGAAAATGAGGATATGGGGTTTATTTTCAGTTCATTTTATTGAATTCTACTTGATTTTTCTTCCCACTCAAGGAATAAAAAAGAAAAAGGTCCAAAAAGAACTGCTTTCTTCCAACTATTAAAAAAAACCAAAAAGTTGCTTCTGAATTTAACTGTGTTATAAATGGACCATCTGGGTGGCCTGCTGGTGTATTTTTCAAATGTCTAGGTTAAAATCTGTCACTAGACGGCCTTCCCTACCCTTTTGCAGGAGCCGTGTTCTCCCCTCCTGCCCTCGTTTTATAGACCTTACTTCATGTCTTCTGATGTCTCTGCAACATGGGCATGTTCAACAGTATCATGTCCATTTCAGAGATAGGGAGCTGGAGCTTTGCAGACCTTCACGTGTCCATCTTCTGGCTTCGGACGCCGGCTTTCTGGGGGACAGGATTCTGTACCCCTTAAACACCTGGTCTACTCAGGACTCACGACTGCTAATCACTAAAAGTTCACTGGATACAGGGCACTGAGTCTGCCTCAGTGTTGGTCTGCAAGAAATGCGGCTCATCAAATCCTCAGGAAAGTCACTTCAACCTGGAGGGCAGGAAATTGCTTTTGGCATTTTCCTGAGATGGGAAAGGATGGGCAGGAGAGGGATGTGGGAGAGGCGGAGAGAGGGACCTCCAGCCATTAACACTGTGAATGGGACTTAGTTTCACTTCTAGAGGAAGAGCTAGGATGGGGGAGCAGCAGGAGGGATTAAAGATTTTGCTTCATGCAAATCGCCTCCCCCTTGTCTGAGGGAAAGTCTTTGTGGTCTCCACAGGTGGAGTCAGTCCCCTCTGCCCTGTGCCCTCCGGTGACCTTGCTGGGTCTCAGTCACCCGCTCCTCCCCCCCCACCTTTCCTTGCTTTCATTGTTGTTTTGGTTTTCTGTTTCTAGAGAATTGTAGTAAAAACAAGTAAGCAACTCTAATTCACATCAAGTGCTTAAAGTAGGAAGTGTGGGGGGACTTCGAAGGGAGGGAAATAGCACAAAGAGGGGCATCTGCAGTTCTAAGAGATAGCAGGACAGTGGAGATTTTTCTTTTTCCCACAACCAGGTACTAAAATGAAAATGTTGAAAAAATAGTCGCGCTTGTTTCTGCAGCGTGAAGAGAGGAAGCACCTGCGTGTTGACAGACCGAGAGTGGGGGAGGTGCCCGCGCCCCATTTCTCCTGTGCGTGTGGCCTCCCGTCACCCCGGGCCCACCACCTCGGCCCACGGCCAGAGGAGTCGTAACTGCCCCTTTCCTGGGGGACAGACAGGAGAAGGTGGGAAAGAGGAAAGAGAGAAAATTGTCTAAGACAGAAGGAAGCCCTCTTCATAAATAATCCCTGGACAATGACCATTAAGTTCTGAGGGAGGTTGACCTCAAGGAAGGAAGGGTCCAAGGGGAAACCAGGGTGGTGCAGTCAGGCATTTCTGCCTTGAAACGCAGGTTCTGTTTCTGACCTCGGTGGCCTCCGAGGCCTCCTCTGTATGTTGGGTCCCCCAGTAGTTAATGGTGGAGCCCATCCTGGAGGAAGCCGGGACTTAGGATTTGTAGTCGAGTGTGCTTTCCACAATGGCCAGATGAGGCAGACGGTGCCACACAGGAAAGTTGGTCTCACTGGAAAATGTACCTACGGTCCGGCCCCCAAGCCTTCAGCTTCCTGTGTGGCTCTGGCCTGGGGCGGGGGGTCGGGGGCGGTTGACGACCCAACGCAGCCTTAGAGGGGTTACTGCCTTTCTGGTCTCGTGCCCCTCCAGACCCTGCCCACTCTGTCAGTGGTATGCTTTAGAACCCAGTGGAAACCTTTCCTAGAAAAACCCTCCCAATCCAGCCCCTCATCCCATGACACCCCCACTTTTGCCTGTCTGTCCGTAATGGCTCTATCTCACGCTTTCTCTGATAGCTAGCTCAAATGACCCCTCTGTAGTTCGGACCCTCTTGAGTGCAAATGCCACCGTGTAATCGGGTCCCTGCCTTTATCCAGCCTCAAAGCTCCGGTCCCCACCCTCTCCCCACGTCCTCAGTTCCTACACTCAACTGTTCCTAACTGTGGAAGCTTCCAGCTCCTCTTTTATCTGGTTCCTTTTGTCCTACTGTGTTGTGATGTCTGCTTACCTATGTCCCCCACTAGAGGCGCGGGGATTTTGTTTTGTTTCATCGTCCTCTAAACTTTGGCACTCAGTGGTGCTCAAAAAAATGTTTGTCACTGGAGTGGTCGGTGCTTGAGTTCTAAATGGCTTAATGTCCTAGGAGCCAGATGTTTCTCTTATTTTTCTTATTTTCACTATTGCAGCTGCTCTTGCTCTGGTTCTGCCTCTTCCTCCCCCTGAGGCGAGCCTGAGAGCTCATAGTGTCTCCAGAATTAGAGGAAGCTCACTCGCGCACCACATGGTAAGAGTGAATCCTGGGGAGTAGTTTCAAAGTGTTCTTCAGCTCAGGGTCTCTATTCAAACGAAGGTCTACAGGGGAGACTAAAACTATGTCAAGTGGTTGAAAGCAGGCCTCTCTGTCAGTGTAGAGCTTGGGGGCCATGAGCCCAGTGGATTATCTCTGTCCTGCACGTTGGCTCCTGGGGGCTCTGTGGGGCACAGCGCCCGGCCTCTTCTCTGTGGGCTGGGGCCCAGTCGTGTAGAGGGCCTCGTCCTAGTCTTGGGTCTCTCAATGGGGAAAGGCATACTTGCAGGGTGAGGTGCCTTGAGGTTCGAGGCTGAGAATGGACCAGAGGGCCGGGGCTTCCAGCTGCCAAGATGGCGGCCACATGGCCTAGTACCTCAGCAGGGCCTTTCTGTGTCCCTGTGGCAGACCTGCTTTCTGATCTGCATGGTCTCGGGGCGCCACCCAGACCCCTCAGATGCTCTGCCCACACTGCTCACAGGCACGCCACAGTGGTTTTTGTCTTTATCTCTGGCTTTTAGGTTCCCTCTAAAACTCTGCCTTGTGGGTAGAAAAGGATGGGGAATAACATTTGTTAATTGCTGGGGCCATACCACATTTATCCCACTTGTCATAAAACCCGGTGAAGTGGCCAGAATTCTCCCATCTCATGAAGAGACGCAGCAGCTCAGAAAGACGAAAGGGCCTGCTCAAGAATGCTCTCTGGTTGCCTCCACTCCAGCACGCTTGTTGCTTGCCTCCAGATCCGACGCTTATCTACTAGTGGCCCCTAAGAAAACGCTGACTCTCTGCTGGGAAACTTCATGCAGGCCTGGAGGCTGCTCTGGAGTCATTTGTGGGCCACACTTCAGGGCAGGGGCCTTCCTCCATACACCCCTGGGTCCTGGCACCTTCCAGCTGAAGAAGGATACTCGGGGTCTGCTTTCTCCCTGTTTCGTGCCCTGGATTCTCCATCCCGTGGCCCCCCCCCATTCTTACCCAGGAGACCCATCCAGGTCTCTTGCAGTTGGGGCCCTGGAACCCTGCCCCATTGCTGGCAGGGTACCCCAATGGAGGTACTTAACGGTGCCCCCGGCCCCTTCGTATCCATGAGGTACAGAACAAACACACTGTTGGTTTCTCTGTTTGATGGAATAATTTTCAGTTCTATGGACAGTTGAGATAGCTTAGCGTAATGAGGCGAAATGAGCGGAGCCTCCCTCTACTGGAATGAGCCCTCAGGCTTCCCAATTCTGAGCAGCTGTGCAAGGACTCACATTGTCCCCCGCTTGGGCCTCAGAGTCACGTATTTGCGTCCCCTGTCATGGGCCTTCTTAATCCAAACACACAGAGATCCCACAGAACCACAGAACCGCACACAGAAGCGCACAGATTCTCCCATTAGCGGTAGTCCCCCCAGGGCTTCTCTGTTCTTCCATAGTTTTGGCTCCTAGTATTTGTTGAGTGGATGACATGATGACTTCTTAATGTTTCTGTCTGTAATGTATGTGGGTTAACACCCTCCCACTGCGGTACCTCTGACTTGCCTTCCAGTGGGAAGTCTCTGCAGTAAAGGTGAGGTTTGCTTAAAGACTCATGTTTGCTCCTTTGTGACTTTGGTTTTTACATTCAGCAGATAGAAAGTGTTGTCCACACTTGTTGCTTCTCTGGCAGCTTGTTTACCGGTGTGGTGGGAGGGGCGTGTGCCCCCTGCAGAGGAGGCTGTGCCCCCCCCCCCACCCCAGGGAAGGATGTGCCCCTGCAGAGGAGGCTCTGTGTTCTGTGGAGACCAGTGGTGCCAAGGCCCCTGAGTCCTCAGAAAAGCCGCAGGTTGTCAGAGCGGGACTGAGTCCTCTTCAGGCCTCCGGGTCACCCTCAGCCTCATCCTGCGCCCCACTCTGGGTCCTGCCTCATCAGAGCCTGCCTGTCATCACTGGCCATGGCGGGGTTCTCAGAACAGCCCTCTTGTACCCCGTCAGCAGGGCTGGTAACCCCTCCTGCAGGACTCCCCAGGGGACGCCTCGTTTTGATGGTCAATTTTTCCAATCCCTGCTGGTTCCAGGCCAGGCTGTGGG